AATACCAATTTCCTTGTTTACTACGCCTGCAATAAAGGATTATTCCTCATAGTTGACAACGCACCAGTTTATATTACAAACATGCACTTATTCGTAATCTATACCTATCTATACTAGAATGGAGTGAACGTCTCCTGAGCCGGACCAAAAGCGCAAAGCATCGTTTTGCCGCTCCAGAAAAACGTACATCTCTTTGTATGATGGCAGCAACCTACTCATTAGTAACAACGACTATCTGTTTCAATTTCATACAATGTAATTTGGATTTAATATAAATACCGTGAAATGGATGTATTTATTTCAATTACAAGTTGACATGGCAACGAATACGGGTCTAGCTTTTAATACTGTAACTGACCAAGTAATGAAAGTAGAATAGAAAAAGGCTTGTTATTCATTAGAAACTTGAAACGAGACCTTGCCTAAGTGCCTTATCTCTATGCCCTTTTGTAACTAGAAAATTTCTTCAAGACTCTAGACCTTCCATATCTAACGCCGTCTTTAGTTCATACATGTTCAGCACAAGTTATACCCTCCGAGAGAAAAATTAGTTACAAGCAAGTATAGTAAAAATAAATGGATCAAGTCAGTCAAACAGTCCCATACAATTAGTCCATAGGTATTCTTTCCCTGTCCTATCAATAATACTGTCTACTTCATCACACAAAATAATACGTATGACAGATACATGTACTAGGAGCAGAAATGTCATCTCAGTGCTAGATATAAATTCTAAACATAATTTCTGCCAAAGTAGTCGCCAGGAAAAGATCATTAGCCCTGAAATGGTACATGCTAAAGATGATATTTGAATAATGTCAAGTTCAATATTACACCGGCAGTTTTGTTTTGACCATCACAGATTGAATTATTATATAAGCAGGACAGCTTGCATAATTTTACAGTTTATACACATACAGGTGTATAAGGATGACAAATAGTACTCGATATTTTTATTGGTTGTTTCAACATTACTATCCACTTTTCAGGTTCTAAAAATTCACGAGTATTTGAGAAGAACTCGCGATCTATACTCGCAATCTAACGAGGATGGACAGAGTAACTATTACCTATTAATATAACTAATCGAAGTTGTAGTGATGTGCTAACACATGTGGGTGTTCTTAATTGCCGTAGTTGCTATCTCATTAATTACAGTTCAAGGTTAAGGTAACAATTGCTTCATAATTATTAGTATCCTAAATGTTTGACTGTAAGTCAGGGGAAATGACCGTTAAAAAAATATCAACTAACTATTAAGAACAGTAACAGATTGTCTAACATCCATATTACGTTTGTTGGAAAACGGGAATCCTAAGATTCAACAAATTGATTAAACCACCTAGGCATCAAAGAAAAATAGCTGTCTCTCATTGTACGTTGAGAGATACTAGAAACTTGCACCTAGAGGTAAACCACAATTGCCTTTCTATGTGGAAACTGAGAAGCCCACCATAACTGTACATTTCGGTTATTTATTTGAGCATACGCATCTTACCTGAGGCATTGTACAGCAAAGTTCTTGTTAGTAATCAAAATACACCTAAATACTTTCTCAAAAAATTGGGTCACATGCCACCGTCCTACAAAATGGTTTGGTTGCTTGGTTCTGTTGTAAATTACTTTTACTATAATAGCGTACAGTTTATTGCTAAATCATTATGCACGATCCTTGTATGAAAATAATTAAATGGTGCAATAATTGCAGAAGAGAGGAAAAGAATTATGTATATTATCAGCTAGCCACTTAAAGTTAAAAAAAGCTGTCCCAGATTAGGACGGTAACCTCTAAGATGTATACAGGTTGTTCCTTAATGATATGCGAATATTTAAGGGTGTGAATCTACATGAAAAATTAATGTTAGTTTGCTTTATAAACTATGATTCCTTACAAACACTCGATGTGTTGAAGTATGAAAAAAAATGGAAATTAATTAATATTTTCAGAACCGCTTCAGATATTTCACTGATATTTAGTACATAGTGAAAGTTAATAAAGTTGCATATTTTTCAATGCAAAAACAATTTTTAGCTTTAACAGTGGCGTACGTACGGGTATTGACTTCGATATTTGTTAAGAAAGAATGGTACGCCAATGGTTTTTTGCCAAATAAAAATTATTTTTAAATTCCCCGTTCAATCTAAATCAAATGATCTCTCTTGAATTGTTTTTCTTCGATGCGCCATTTTAGAGTAAAAAAATAAAAACCGTTTATTGTCTAACTTGCAAAATTATTATTAATTTAATTGGAAAAATTAAACACATTAGGGGTAATGAACAACAACAACAACTGACAACATAACATTAAAACCAACGAAATGATTACAAAAATTGTTGAAAATGGCCCCCTCCACTTAGTATGCATGCTTCCGCCCTCCTTCTAATGGAATTGCGCACTCCTTGAAATATCCCTGGAGCGTTTTTTATTCTGTCACAGTATTAATGGGACTTGCTTACACTAGTCTTAAGATAGCCCCACAAAAAGAAATCTAAACTGTTGAGGTCTGGGGACCTTGGTGGCAATTTTTGGGGCCCACCGCGGCCAGTCCAACGATTTGGGTAAACAGTTTGTAAATAATTACAATGCGCTGGTGCACCATCATCCATGAACCACATATTGTTTCTTATTACTAAAGGAACATCATCAAGCAGCAAAGGCATCTGTTGTTGAAGGAAATTGAGGTAAGTCTGTCCGTCAAGTCATCCCGGCAAGAAGAATGGGCCAATAAAGTGGTCGCCAATAATTCCTGCCCATACGTTAACCGAAAATTGTTGTTGGAAATGGGTTTCGGTTACGGCATAGGGATTTTTTTCTGCCCACAAATGATTAATGTGGATATCCTGAATCGCATTTCGAGAAAAATTAGCTTCGTCACAGAATCATTGATTCAAATTGCGGATTTTGTGTAATTTTTTGAAGATACCACTGACAAAAGGTCACACGCCTCTGGAAAATCAATGGGAAGTAATGCCTGTACTAGTAAAATATGGTAAGGATATAACAAAAAAACTACTGAAATTCTCCAAACAATTTGATGGCAAATATTTGAGTGTCTAGCGATCTTCCTCGTTACTCGTTTCAGGATGTTCTTCGACTTAGTGCAGCACTGCTTCCTCAATTTCAGGTGTTCTCACACTTAGAGGTCTACCTTCAGATGTTCCTTTTCGGACAGAACCGGTTTCAACAAGACGACTATGAATATTAGAAAATGTTCGACTATCTGCCAAAGCACGATCGGGATATCTCTGGTGATAAATCCGTAATGCATTTCCGCCATTTCTGCATTTGAATAATTCACCATTATTAACAAGATTGTAAAAGCTAAATAATGAAAAAGATGTCACAGCGAACAGATTTCAATAACAGAGACTTTCAGATGTCAAAAGCCAGTGACATATTCCAGAGCAGCTAGATATTTATTGCTAAATTGCATTGTTCAATAATTTTCTCGGACAATAGAACGGTTTTTATTGTTTGCTCAAAAATGGCGCATCGAAGGAAACAGTTCAAGATATATATATATATATATATATATATATATATATATATATATATATATATATATATATATATAACGTACAAATGTTTCTATAAAAGATATGTACCACAGAGCCCTTGGGATAGTCAGGTTTTCCTAAATAACATTGGAAGGACACCACAAAGGCGGGTCCAGAGAGAATTTTGGGATGGGGAAACTTTTGAGTGCAGCGATTGAAACTTGTAGAGAGCGAGGTTAAGAAAAATATTAAACAATTTCCTGCGTATTTTTCTTTCCCCAGTAATTTTGTTGGGGAACTCTCTCCTAGATCCCCGTGGATCCTCGACTGTTATAGAAAATCAGTATTCCACTTAGGCTTCAGCCACTAATCCAAAAGCAATATTGCTAATTTTATCACTGATATAGAAAAGGGAACGACGAAAACATTTTTGGCAAATTTAAGTTAATGAGCGGTATGTAGTAGACTCTGCCTCTTGTTTTGATACAGTTGCTTCAATTTTGGTGAAGTATCCGCGACACTGCTTCTTTCATTTTTTAAACATTGGTAATACATTTGTAATCAACCACTCAAAAATCAAGTTTTATATTTTTGTTTTTTTAGGGAGCGGACACAGTATTGAAAGAAATCTGTTCATCAAAAATGGCTCGTTTTACTGGAATCAAGATACGGCGTGAGGAAAAAGTTTGATACGAATGTATAACAAAAAAAAAATAACGCTGCGATCTAGGAATCTCTTCTCTGCAATACTGATAGTATGGATCATCAGGCAACGTTGCTGAACCACACCAGCGCCAGCAGTGAGCGGTTAGCAATCAGGCGTAGACAGAACTGTGTTGTGTGCACATCGGTATACGTTCATGGTGCTGCAACCTATACGCGACGCGTCTCCTGTAAATGTTCCTCCAAGTTTTAAGGACAAATATACTACCGCCAAAAAATCGAGATTTATCTTTCCCATCCTCGTTAACCCCTCACTCTAATTTTTAATCGCTACAAATAATATTTTCGCCTAAGCGATCCAGAGCCTTTGAAACATCAGAGCGAAGTTTGATCGATTTTTATTCTTTTCACTGATTGCCTGTTGCTCCACCGCCACCGGATAGATTTTCAACTACAAAGCTTTTCGTCCTTGCATAGTAGTAATACTAGTTTTCATCAAAGTCTGTGCGGTACCTTTCAAGATATAGAGGTGTCAGGGGACAGATCGACGGGAATGGGTGACATGGTTTTTCGTGATGCCCTAGACATGTACCATAAAAAAACATAATACCTATCTCATTTTGGAAACTTTTTGTCGATACAATACTTCATCGCCAGTATTGTGGGAAGTAAACGATACATTTCTTAAAGCTAAATGATTGCGGTTTCAAAAAATATTATTTTTGAGTGAGTTGACTATCTTCCCCATCATGTATTTGCGGTTAGCATTCCCCGTAACGCGGTGGCTGTATAAGAGTCTCGGTAACAAATTGAAGGTCCATACTAAGAATAAACTTACACGTATCCAGCGAGGATGTTGAGTAACGTGGATTTTCCGGCTCCTGAAGGGCCCATGATTGCAGTGAGTTCTCCAGAACGGAATTTGCCGTTCACCGAACGCAGCAGTTGTCTCCATCCTGAAAAAAAAATCGCCATTAACAAAGTAATTATAAACCCATAGAGTATATTTTACATGTAATCATTACAATTAAGCTCATTATGATTTTTCTAGAGAAATATGGTTATTCAACATACACGAAACTGCTGAAAACAGTGTGTTCTTTCAGGCCTTTCTTAGTAACATACATACCAAGGCTTTCAGATGACCGAGATACTAGGTTGCAAAAAGCAATAGAAAAATCAGTACGACCCAGATACCTTCCCCTACCACGTCAAAACGTAATATGTACCAAGACTATGTGAGTCACTATTCAAACCAGGCGTCGCGTGTTATCCAGGTTTACCTAGTTTAAAACCTAACCGCAATTGAAAATAGAAATTGGCACGCAATTATCGATTTGATATGAGCATCTTCAAGATCCTATTGATACTCCGCGAGTGTACGTAGAACGTCGCCGTCGTCCTCGATGTTTCTTTCCATCTGAGACGCATATGTTTATCTATATCATAAAAAAGCCGTGTAGTTGAAGATCAAGCGTTACAAATTTAGGAAGACAAGCAAATTCGTGTTTTTGAATCGAACAGCGACTGCTTAAAACAAACAAAACATGTCACAGGGCAGTACTGGAATTTACTTACCAAACGAATATTGTTAGTTTTTCTTCAATTTCTTTTTCACGTATTCGATGTTGTTTAGCCGTAAATTAGCTTTGTCTGAAAGGGAAAGTCCCAACTTTCAGGACTCTCTGTACATTTTTCAACTGAACATTCTTTTATGGAACTGATTAAAGTCTGCTGCTACATTCTAGGTAACAAAGGATTAGTGTCTATAACCAGGGTTTTCGACCCTGAAAGTAATACAGATTCCAAGATGATAAAGTCAACATCTAAAAAGAAAAGTTGAAGTCTCATTATAATTGTGTACTGATTTGTTTCTAAATTTTTTTTATCTCAGCGCAGTGGAACAACACTTTTATTTTTATATGTTTTATTATAGCTTTGAAAGAGAAAGTGTTGCGACCATACGGTCATATAGTTACTTAAGTTAGATATTCGGGCTTGTAAAAAACAATCAAGTACCAGAATAAAAAAAAACGTTGAAGAAAGCTTACAATACATATGTTATATAATATTATTTTTAGGCCCTAATAATACCCCGCTCATACACTTTTTGTGTGTGAAACTAGGTAGTCAAATTGCTGTAAACTAAAATTTTATACAGGGTGCTTTGGGACCATCACCAATGGAGATATCCAAATATGCTACGAAGAGGACCTACAAATATACAGTGTGTTGACGTGGTACTTGTGAAGTACATCGCAGATGAAGATGCCGATTCAAAATGTTAAACATGTATCTCGAGCAACGAAAATTCAGTGTAAGTGAAGGACGTGGAAGTGGGAAACTTATATTCAGAGCTCTATAAAAGAAGGAAAGAAAACATTTTTTTCACGATGTGTCAGAACCAGTCCTCTACTAGTATGGTGTCTAATTGGTATTTTATTTTCACATAATAAATGTGAGGCATTCCTGTCCACTTGACTGAATTGACTGAGGCTGAATGTGATTATAAAAAATGATATTGCGATTCATCTTGGTTACGAGGAAATACCTTTCTGGAATGCAAGCATGAATACATGATTCATCAGTGTTAGTCACTCAGACGCTAGTGGAAAGTTCGTATCTAGGATCTGCTACATAACAAAAGAGACATTTGAATTTCAAAATGTTTGCCTTCGATCTCGATCACGTCATTGAAGAGCACGGAGTTGAGCTACACATTTCTTTTTTTTTGAGACTCACATATCACTAAATGTTTACCAACTGACTAGTACTTCATGAATTTGAAAATATCGAACCGAGAAGACAAACACCATAATCGGATGCTTATGCAAATGAATGCTGAAAAATTTTGAACGCGATTATGCTATTGTGACCAAATGGACCATAAGCCATCATCAATAAAAGTGCAATAGATATCTAACACATTTTGCTATGATATTCGACGGACTAAATGTTTCCCTGATTGATAAATAGAACCTTTTTCGAACTGAAAAATTACAGAGAACGAAACAGGAAGATGAATTAGTGGGGAAACCAAATAACCATCGACATCCCCATTAAATATAAAGGAGAACTGGACAATACATAGTTCTTGGCATAAATGCATTATCATATCTACTCGTAATCTGTTCAATCCACCATATTTGTATAATATTCTACGTTAGCCCTTTGATGTATCTGATGACCACTATGTTTGCGTTAGACTTGAGAAAAACTTTTGAAAAGCTGAAAGCCATTACAGTTGTAATGAAAATATCTTTATGACATAAGACAAACAGTTGATGCATTAAAGTGTAAATTCAATTTTCAGTTTGCTAGTTTACAGCAGAATAATAACGATTCCTTCATTAGCTTTCAATCTGTAAAGTTTCCGTAAAACTTAATACAATTGCTTTATTGCATGGATGTTAGTCACAAATGAGCTAACAATAGATTACGTGTACAGTATAGGTGTGATGAATTGCATAATTAGAATTTCATGAAAAAACAGGTTTTATCGGTACAAGAATACATTCAGGAGCAAAACATAATATTTAAGACACATACACTTTATACAATATCGAACACGATATCTCAGTGTTATACTGGAGATATCACTTTGACATTCTGAATATGCTTGTATGCAAAGCGCTTTCGTTCGCAACATTGACGATCGAAATTATCATACAGAAAAGGAGGTCATTAATGTGTAAAAGATCAATATTGGCGCTGATACTGATCCTTGGGGGAAACTCGCATCGACTTGTGAGATAAATGGGAAAATCAACAGTGTATGTGGTTGTTAGAGGTTAAGGCTCTGCTTCCGGAAACTCCTCTCTCAAGCCAAAAATGGCGTCAAGTGGCTTGACTCTGCACCTCTTTCGCAATGGCGTGAACAGTTTTTCTTATATCGAAGCAGCCGCGCAGGCAGAAGTCTAAGTGCCGGAACACTATGCTGCTATAAGGGTCCCAAAGAAATTTTGTTAATACAATCTTTTAACTGCCTAAGGTTAGTAGAAAAGCTTCCTCTTGTATATTGTTCCACAGTCTTGACACTCTCGGGACAAAGGAGCGGTCGTATCGCCCTGTTCTGGATGTACGAAGCTCGACACGGTTAGGATGGGACGCCAAAGTTAGGCGGGTCTGACTGGCAGGCACATCGCGCGGCAGCATCATGGAAGAGAGCTCCGAGGAGCAAAGTCCGTTGGTGTAGCGGTAGAAAAGAGCTAGATCGCTGTCGGCCCGCTGGTGCGAAAGAGTTCCGAGACTGTCTGTTCGAAAAGAGTCATCGATTAGTCGGACCGCCCTCTTCTGGACAGCATGGATAATGTAGTCGGGGCGGAAGCAACCCAAACGTGTGAGCAATACTCGAGGCTAGACCTTATCTGGGCATTGTATAGACTGAGAAGGTCATGCGGAGAAAAGTACTTCTTAGCCCTAAACACATAGCCTAGCTTTTTACCAGCAGCTGCAGCTATTGACGAGATGTGTTCGTGCCAGATCAGGTCATCGGTGATCTGGACTCCGACCAGCCGAAATGAATGGCTGACAGAACTCGGCCATAGACAGCAGACATCAGCGGTGGCCGCAGTAGTAGACTCTTCGGTCTCCTGATCAGTCGCCGTGCGCTGTGCGCAGCCAGAATGTGTGCATGTTGCATGCACACGTGTTCCCTCGCCAGAGTCCGTGTGGCGTCCCTCCCTTTCCCATGTATCCCCCTATAGCCCCACGGTACCCAATGGGTGCTTAGGCCTTAGGCCTTCGTGGTAGCTGGAGTATAAAAAAAATACATCGAACCCAACCAAAGCTCATTATGGGCATTGAAATGATCGAGAAGAACTACCTCTGAAGCGGGGTGAATAATGTTGTTCAGGAAGTCGATCTTGACGGCGAGGTATTCCAGGAGCTCATCCCAGTTATGGTCCGAGGGAGAGCGATAAAGGCAGCAAATACATTTGGGTGGTGTTTTGGAGTTGAGGCGAAGCCACAGAATGTCCTTCCGGTTTCCAAGAAAACATCTCTGGATCAAGAAAGACTGCTGCGGACAAAAGCCACAACTCCCCCGTTCTTTCTCAGATTGGAGGGCACCTCGCAGTTTGGGAAGTTAAGATGGTTAATCGGTGCAGACTCTGAGATTTTTATCTCCGCCAAGAAAAGCATGGCGGGACGATTGGGCTGCAGGTAGTGATGAACAGCATCAATGTTGCTGTTAATCCCGCATATGTTTGTAAAACTTCGATGATGTTCCCTTCAGCACAAGTTAGACCTTCCGAGAAGAAAGTTATTTAATAACACGTATAACAGTGAAATTGAAGCCTCGTAGCTCCCCTGTCATTGGACAGATTATCAAAAACTACAAAGAATTTTCGTCCTCGGCACAGTAGTAACCTTGTGTTAAAATTTCATCCAAACCCCAGCGGGACTTTCCAAGTTATAGACGGACTGTGGATTAGCGGACAAGCAGACCAACAGATAAGCAGACCGCCAGACAGACCACCGGAAAGTATTTTCGTCACGTTCATGTCATCTAACATCCAAAAAGTATGATATCTAATTTTTGGCGAGTACAATACGTTTCCAGTAACAATACCGTCTTTCACAGAAATTCGGTAATGATCAATATCCGCACCATTCTTTTATGGAACTGATTAAAGTCTGCAACTACATTCTAGGTAACAAAGGGTTAGTGTCTATAAGCAGGGTTTTCGACCCTGAAAGTAATACAGATTCCAAGATGATAAAGTCAACAACTAAAAAGAAAAGTTGAAGTCTCATTATAATTCTGTACTGATTTGTTTCTACATTTTTACAATACGTTTCCAGTAACAATACCGTCTTTCACAGAAATTCGGTAATGATCAATATCCGCACCATTATGAATGCAGTCGTCCTTACGTTAAAGCTGTGGTACAGCCAATCTTTCAATGTCAATGTCAAGTTCAATATCGAACGGAACAGAAAACGTAATTAGGAA